ACGGGGCGTCTGCCAGAGGTATAAATAAGGAAGCCAACAAATCACCGGAATACGCCTCAGGTGTGCGCACCGACCCACGAGTCACTAATTACCCAATGCGCACAGCTGAGGCGTTGATCCCGCAAAAAGGGAGAGCAGGAGAGGAAAAAAAGAAAGAGGCAGGTAGCGCCGAGCGGACCTGACAAAAAAAAATCAATAATAAGGATTTAAAACTAAATGAGTTTGACTCAGGCATATCCCATTTTATTTTGTTAGCGTTCACTGTCCATTCCTCTTCAGGGTGTTAATGAGGCTTTGGATTGTTCATATTTAAAATTTTTATTCTTCCCTATAGAAAACGTTGAGAAGGTATTTTATGTAAATCTCTTTCCTTTTAAAAATAATGAAAACAAGAAGGGCTGTGGTTTTACAGACCAGATTCAGATATACATTATGTTAATAGGGACACTCTATGCTAATAAGCCACTGAACTTTTTAATTTCATTAAGTATGAAATGAACTTCTGGAGTGGTTTGCTGAAGGCTTTTTGTATTCTTTGTATTACCATCTCCTTTAGAATATTGTATTTTATGGTGATTATTACTGTGAGCTGTATCAAAATACTAGCTCAAACCTTTATATCCTGAAGTAGTTGTACTGTATTGTTTGGATTTTCACAGCACCCCCTGTCCACTCTCACATCATACCTCTCTTTGTTCTTATGCTTACACATGGTACAGTGTGCTTGTGGGCCTCGTAGCCCACTGTTGCATGTCCCCACATCATTAGTGTGTCCTTCAAGGCATTTGTTGAAATTGTACATTTGGTTCCACTTTGAAGTGCTGAAGTATATGAATCTTTTAGCGAGGATGGATGCTGGGAGGGTTGTTAAACTGCTCTGTTTAGCAGCAGGCACTCCAAGCACTTGACAGAGAATACACGGAAAGGGGTATCATCAGGTACCAGGCACCTTGCCACCAGATGCGGATATAAGGGAGTGTTGGCACTGGTGGCTGTTGTGTTTTTATTCTCAGTGGAGCCTTAATGGGATGTAACATAAGAGATGAGTGGATATTAGAGGGTGGTTCCTTCCCTTCCCCATAGCCTTCAAATTAATCACTAGGGTTATATACAGGTCTCAGGCATCTAAAATTTATTCAGATGTTAAGTATTTGTACTGATTTCTCTAGTGTACTCTTTATGCAGTTACTAGACTAGATATCGATAAACTATGGTTTTATCCTACCATGACATGATACACTAAATGTTAGTCATACAATACTTTGAAGTGTGTCCATTTTTGTAATATTAATGCTGATTAAATTTAAGAAAAGACAATGTTTTTTTGGTTTCCAAGAAAATTTAATAGCTGTCTCCACCAACAGCAGTTTTATTTAGTCTTAAGTGTACATCAACAGCACATTGAAAAATCAGGTTTTTAGTATGTGTATTGATTTTGAAATGTCACTTTCCCACTGTGACAACCATCCATGTTACATACTTAGAAACTGTGTTGAAAGTATGTAGTTTGGATTTGTGACACAGCTTAATGGCATGTTCACACATTATCATGAAAAAATCTCTTTTCTGCATATCTCCTCATTATCATGTATATGATGTGCTGCAATAGCTCCACGCAACTGTGCAGACAGTCAGTAAAGTTAAACTAGACATTTGGTGTGTACACTGTGATGGATGTTAACAATAGACAGTATGGGCCATAATTTTATAACCGGTCTAATCAGCATTCTTTGTATCCACCTGTGTCTCATTATATCCGGTCTCCAGCCCATATATACTCCTTCCTTCCCTTCAGTTAGTTGCTGGTTCATTAGCCAACAGACCACGGACACTCTGCATGACGCCCGCCTCTGTTTTTTTTTTCCCTCTTGTTCCCTGGACTCCATGTTGCCAGCATACCACAGACGCTCAGCGCTGCACCTAGCTCCATGGACTCTGTTTAACTCCCCTGTTCCTCGGACCCTTCATCTCCACCTGCTTCACTCCATTTGTCTTCATCTCTTTGCCCTGCCATTCTACACCTGCCAGTTCCTGTTCTTCTCCGCCAGCCCTGCAAACTCTCTGGAAGCCTCTCCCTGCCTTCGCCTTTAAGGTTCACTTTTTGTTCTCCCCTTTCTTAAAGACTGTGTGGCCAGCCTGAGGCTCTGGTGCTCTTGTTTGTTTTCCCCTGTTATCTCCCTGTTTAAATAAAGTAGTGAAAGAGACTTTTGACCTGTCTGGTGTTTTGCACATTGGGACCTTCCCTGCTCAGACCTGACAGAATGAACCAGCCAGACATGGTCCCAGCAGACCCAGCCAGGGAGTGCAGCAACCCTGCTTAAGGTCCTCATGAATCTGTGTGTCCAGATTGACACCACCCGTAACCCGGTGGACCGTCTGGCTGTTATCAGATGGAGGTGCTTGTTCGGAGCCGCCCCTGGCTAGAGGACCACCTTGATACGGCAGGGCTGCTCTCACAAATAGACTTTATGGGCTGAGCATGAGGCCTATTTAGAGTTACAGTATGTTGGCAGGATGGCTCCTTTTCATGGTCAAAGAGCAGGACTGGCTCAAGAGGAGCCGCCTCGCAGCTTCCTCATCTGCGGCTGTGACTGCCGTGAGCCAAAAGAAGGCTCAAGATATCCGGGCTCAGTTAAAGACCCAAATGGAACACCCCCTGTCTCTTCCCACCAACCCACAGAGCTCCTGCTCCTCTGTTAGGCTGGGGGTGTTCTCACCCACCTGGGACCCCGAACCTGGCCTGGTTCCACCCGCTCCGGATCCCAAGCCCTCACCCTTTCTGGGAGCCCATTTGGCCATCTGCCCTGGAGGGCTCGAGAAAAGAATAAGCAGGAAGAAGGGTCATCCACAGTCAGTATCCGAGCCTCTGTCCCTGGCTGCTCCATTGCTGCAGCCTATGTCTTCAGCCTGTTCCCTGGCTGCCTCTGGCAGTTCCTGAGTCTGTTCCTGGGCCGCAGCTGCCTTCTGCCTGTTCCCATGCACCATTGGGTGGTGTTCTTTTTTGCTTTCCCCTGTTATCTCCCTGTTTAAATAAAGTAGTGAAAGAGACTTTTGACCTGTCTGTCTGGTGTTTTGCACATTGGGATCTTCCCTGCTCAGACCTGACAGATTTCCCCTTTAGAACTTGTCTATGTATGCTGTGTAGCTCACACACTGACCCTTGTGGGCTCAGCGGGCCCATATGTGGCTTCAGATGCCATGCCCTGTTTTAAACACTGTAGTTTACAAATGCACAGAATGTCCAAAAGCTGGGAAAGACTACACTAAATCAATGGAGCTCAGGGGCATTCATGGTCGATAGTGGTGTTGCGGTTGACTTGACATATTAGAAAAACTCAGCTGGGGGACAGAATCGTCTGTAAATAGACAGATACCTGATCAGAGTAGAAGAAGCCCAGAACTGCTATGGCCAGTAGGATGAGGAAGACCAATGTCAGACTGAAAGAGAACTAGAGTAAAATAAGCACAAATATGAAAACACAGAGTGACTAAGACTGAATCATAACCAACTGTCAGATTTGTTGTTATATGAAATGTAAGCTGTTAGATGTTGGCTATGGATTAAATATGGATTAAATACAATTTGAACTGCGATATCATAAACAGCGTCAGTATTAGCACTGCGTTTGTTATTACTGTCTTGAGGAGGCGAATGTTCTCTCGGAGGGCTCCGATACAGCCACAGAAAGTGATGAAAAACATGACCACCCCCACCACAATTAGGATGACAGCTGGGTCGATCAGGAACGTGTCCCGCACTGTGTCTGGCAGAAAGACAGCAACACAACATCCCCTGTTAAGATTTCCTTGTCTGTTCCTACCTTTCCTTCCTTCCCTCTATGCTTTTATTTTTGTTCTTTCTACCCTTATTTCTAATGTTTATTTGTTCCCTCTTACAGTTTCTCTGTTTTGGAATTCTCCCTTCCTGCACTTGCTGCCTTCATTCTCTTAAAACATCAATGATCTGTTGTGTATTATACAGGATACAGAGGCACTATCAGTGGGATGTATCCAGGTTAATCCCTTTTTGTTGTTGTTGTTGTCTGTGTGTTGTATATTACAAATTAAATGTAAAAACATTGTCACCAGGTAAATTGAGGATAAATCCAAAATTTGGATCTGTTAAAAGTAATGATGATGCTTTGTGTTGGGGTAGCTCGGTAGGTGTGCAATTAAAAGAAAAAAAAAAGCCTCCATCTCACACCAGCATAGCTTGAGAAAATGCAATGTATGCTGCAGCAATTTGTCACAGTTCTTTTACTCCACGATGCCAGAGCTGAATGGACATCAAAACATAAAATGTTCACTTTTTGTAATTGTAACATAATAGAAAAGTAGGATTTGAGAATCATGGAAAAGTATTTGTATATATCTGAATGTGGAAAAAGTACATGTACATACCCACAGCTTTCTGGAATTTAGCATACACTCCAATTGCAACAATCAACATGGAGAAAACCTGGGAAAATGAGAGAAATTGCTTTTGATATAGAGAATTATTCAAGACTTGACTCAGTTATTACCTTGAGCTGGTTGTTTGTTTGTTTGTTTTTTCTCTTGTGGTTGTTTCAGATGTGATTGTCATTCACATTCTGCTTGGAAAATTCACCATCTATCTACTGCCAAGCTGGTTAGCTTAAGTTATCTTAAGATGTAGGAGGAAGCTGGCCTTGCTCTGTCCAAAGGTTAAATACTGGTCTGTCAGCACCTCTAAAGAGCAGAATTTTTGTCTGTTGTTTTGTCTTATTTGTTCACTGTGTACAAAAACAGAAGTAATTAAATAAGTTCACCAGGCTACCCCCCGGCAAAATTATGCTAACCCAAGTTAACAGCCTCCTGGCTGTAGATTCATATTTATATTCTTGGATAAATATGAGCACAGTGCCAATATTCTCAACAGTCTCTTGAAAATGAAAATGATTCAATTCCCAAAATTTATAATTTATATTCTTTAAAAGATTAGGATCAAAATACCTGTGTAACCTAATCCACCTTTTTCGTCATTAGCCAGAATGTAGAAACTGCACCACTTATTGAGATGGAATTCTTATGGGTTTATGTGTAACCTTGTGGTGAGAGATAGTGTTGCTTCCTGTGGGCTATCTCTGTTTGGAAGAAATTTTATTTGAGCTGTCAGCCATGACAGGTGTCATCAGATTAGTTATGATGAGCCTTTCCTATTGTGCAGAGTGTGCACAGTGTGCATTTAAGAAAAACAGGCAGATGAATGTCAGTGAGAGGAAAGACAGCCAGGCATATGGATCTTGGCTTTAGTCATCTGAATTTAGAGGACGTCAGAGGACGTTCCCTAGTGCTATTAAAGCATATTTTTCATAACTTTAAACTTTTCTTCACTTTTTACAATCACATGAATTTTTTTGTGGAGTAGAGCTTGATTGTGTTTTGTACTGGTGTATGTTTTGTGTTTTCACTGCTGCAAGTGGAGTATAGATAATTATTTTTGTCTTCAGAGTAAGGAACTGCAGCATCAAACCAAAAGAGGTGATGTGACTGAAGAGTCTGGCAAGGACCTGCTGCATGCCTTTTAAAAAACACAAAACATTGGTGTTGCTTAAGGATGTGTTGTAAAACTGCTCAGGATTTGAGCTGACCCCAGCAGAAGCCACAAAGTAAAGCAGCAAGCTGGTGGAAAATAGGTGGACTTGGAGCTTCCTGTTGATTGCATTGGCAACATTACTTTCCCTGCTTTCCTTGATTGTTTTTCTCACCTAGAATAGCAGTCTGCATGGCCGGGCCTTTATTTTGAGCTTACAGATTCACAGCCAATCACCTGATTATTGATTGTGTGTGCATGTCTGTGTGTATACAGAATGCCTTTTTCAAGCCTATATAAACAGGGATTTGTTGGGTTTCTGTGTTGAACCTCTTAATGCAATGAGAATCCATTATATAATTTGCTGCCGTGTGAAAAAGGTCTAAGTTATATTTTGCAGCCTTCCCTTTTTATGTGCTCTGGAGAAGTAGACTGTTACTTTGAAATGTTTTATCCCCCTCCTGTTTTTTGCATCACGAATCAGCTGCAACAGGACAAAATCTGACAAAACAAGAAATTCATGATGCGTTTTTTTGTTTTGTTTTTTGGAACTGCACAATTTTGAAGATGTTTGAACGTACTGTTTTCTAGGGCATATAGTCTTTTGTATAGGAGTGTGTGCGCCTGCCACTGTCAGTTTGCCACTTTGTGAATTTATGTGAGTATGGGTGGCAGTGTGCATTTGCAACACGTGACACACACATACACATAGTGAATGTATTTCAGCTCTGTTTTCAGGCTTTTCAAGGGTTTGAATCAGGCTTCTCCTGGCGGTTTTATGTGCGAAGGTGAAAGCCAGCTGAACTGAGCCGTGGGGATATAGGGACAAAGGCCTGATGGATTAGGGCTGCAGTGTTCACTTCTGAGCCTGTGTCTGATAAACAAAGTCAACACAGGCCATGCTATGTGGCTGCTATAGTGAAATAAGTCTGCTGGTGGCAAAAATTAAATCACAGACAAATCACTACAATTCCAATGAACATTTATTGTTACAATTAATAATAAGCTGGGGATAGAATCACCTTTTTATTTCTTTTCCTCTGCAGAGAGAAAGTTCATGCATTGAAGGCAGCCAGGAAGGGAGACAGACAAAGACTGTTCCCTTCTCTCTTCCTGATACAGCCTCACACCCGCTCTTATCTACTTCTCTTTCTCTATTACTTCATCCTATTTTCTGTGAAAGTTCCTTGAAATGTGTATGCCAAATTTGTTTCCTGGCAAAACTTGACTTCTCCTTTTTGGGGAATTGTTTGTTAAGCAAGATGACGGAACACAAACTCTAAGATGTTACTGTCTCAGCATATGAACATTCTTTAAACAATTTATACAGAGCCCAAGACACAGATTGCATGAACAAGACAAGCATCGTAACTCACACCGTGACCTTTAACTATTAACTAATACACATGCAATATGTATATATGTATGTGTGTGACCTATATAGTCCTATTGTACTCTATTACATATTAACTATAACTACATGTTACTGTTTTAACCACTACACTTTCTTCTTTACTACAGTATACTGCTGATTAGCTCTAAACACAGAAAGAGTACAGTGTTTTTGCCCCCTTGCTGTGTTTGTGTAGGATTGGTTGAATAGAATATGATGGAGGTGCAGAGCTACAGATCACTGTGCAGTGTAGTAATGTGGTAGGAAGTAAAACAGTCTCAATTCTGTGTGTGAAACCAACGACTGGTGGGGGACAAAGAGTGTCTGACGCATGGTTCAGTGACTGCATTAAGTGTTGCCTATATACTGTAACAGTCCCAGTTGTCTCTTACTACACTAACAACCAGCAGCGGAGCTTCCATAATAGCTTGTATAATCTGAGCACTTTTACCCTTGGTACATACAGTACTGTGAATGTGTAGTTCCCAACCTGTTTATGTACCCACATAGCAGTGACCCCATCCATCATGTTTTAAATGGGCTCATTTAAATTGATTTTAAACTTGAGGGTATTTAACACAATTGATTATTTAGTGCTACTACTACTTCTACCACTTGGATTTGCAAGAAGTTATACGTTTCAACTGTTTATCTGTACAGTAACTTTTACTCATTACTTTTAGCTAACTATTTATTTATTTCAACTATTTGTCCATTTAACAGTTTTTAATCATTTATATGTTACAGTTTGCAATTTTAAACATTTGTCTTTTTTTTTTTTAGCAGTTATCAGTTAATTTTGATAAACTATAACCAGCTATACATTACTTTTAGGTCTTCATGCAGTCTCAGTCTCAACACTTAGTGTTCAAATGTTACAACTGACTCAGTATGTTGTCAGTTCCAGTTTTTTCATATCAGTTTAGCTACCTCACCATCTTGGCACATACGTACCTCCTAGCAACTACAGAAGTACACCATCAGGTACAAGTAGCTCTGGGTGGGAGTTACTGTATATATAATATGGACTTAGGTCAATCATGTTGTGAAACAATGCAGCGAATGCATTCAGCAGTGACAGGTGCAGACTAGGACACTATGGTGGCGCAGTGGTTCACCTCATTGCAAGAAGGTTCCCGGCTGACCCAGTGCCTTTCTGTGTGGAGTTTGTATGTTCTCTCTGTGCCTGCATGGGTTCTCTCCGGGTGCTCCAGCTTCCTCCCACAGTCCAAAGACATGCAGCTTAGGTTGATTGGCGACTTTAAATTGGCTGTGTGTGTGTGTGGTTGTGTGTCTCTGTCAGCCCCATTGTCTATATCGCTCATAGATGGGTACAGACTACTAACAGGCATGCACAGTTACCTGGTGTTTTACTGTTCAGTACGAGTCAACTGATTTGATAGGAATGCATGACTCAACATTTGCTATAGTGATTTATGGACAGTCTGAGTGTGCATATATAACTGTAGTAAACTTAAAAGAGGTAGTAGTGGGTAAACTGGATGCTCCTTCTAAATGCAGCTCCACTATCTGAAGTATATTCTTTCATTTATTATTTATAAGCTTCTTTGTTTTGCCTTATTATCTATCTATCACTTTGCCTCCTTTACCAACAGATTTTTTGTTTGTTTTTTGGAAAGCTGCCCATAGTTGGTGATTTATATGCTCAGAAATATTAAGAATGTGTAGTGTCCCAGGACAGCATAACAGTTGTTTTTGTCATTACTGGTTTGTGCTACTGGAAAATAAATCCTTCTCTACTCACCCAAAATAAGAAGCTGAAGATGAAGAGAAAATATCTAATCAAAGGGTTGACAAAGGAGAATGTCTCAGCTCGGTTCATATTCAGTTCCCTGTCCAAGGTTGGTGTATTAACAGTCGGGCATGTAGAGCTAGAGTGAGTTTTACTTCCAAAACAGTCCCCAGCTCCAGCCCCACCCTTGCAGATACTCTGCCCCCATGTAAATCTGTGAGGAGGGGGTTGTTTTGGGGCTGAAGGGGTGTCAGGCTAGCTATAAATGGGAGCATGGGGCTGCGATGCTGCCCTGCCATGCTGGTAGCACCCAGAACTGTCTATGTAGGCTGGTTGGTCAGATTACACAAAAAATATCTCTGGCTGAATGCAGCTGAATGGCCTGCAAGCTTTGGAGTATTGCTGGTTTGTAGACCTTTCAGCTCCATGCTCTTTCAGTTTTTTTGTTTGTTTTTGGTGTCTTCCTCTGCTGCTTCAACATCCCAAGATACTGTATCATAGGCCTAAAAGCACCTTGCCATTTTGCTTCAATAGCTGAGAGGCTTCTGTTCTAGTCTACAAATGACACCTTCAAAGACAGATGCTCTTCTGCAAAGAATAAAGCAGAATGACAGTTAAGAATCTGGAAACTTTGAGAGAATGTAGTAATATAATGTAGCATCAGGCAGTTTGTTCTGCTGTTTCCCCTGTGCACTGAGTCCATTTGTGCTTGAGAGTGAATCTGCTGAATTTCAGTCAAACTGTGATCAAATGAATCAAAAAGGAGCAAAAAATGTCAAGCCTCCTAACATGTAATGAGATTGAGATGTAAAACTCAATTGACTAGCTAAGATGGATCATCTGTCAAAGTGGCCAGAGGGATTATTTGAGGATAAGGTACAGGGAAAACAAATCACAGGAGCATAAAGTTAATGTAATTGTATAAAAAATTCACTACTGGGTCTCTGAATTCTAACTCTAGCTCGTGGAAATGTAGTCTGAACTGTCCTTGGCACTAGAAATTCTGAATGTGAATACTTAATCACAGAGCTGTTTTATTATTTATTATATCAAGTGTCTCCCGTGGAGTGACAGAACTGAAGTCCCTCAGGTAGCTCAGTGCCTTGCCAGAGGTACATGATGAATTCTCTCTTTTTCTTTTTAGAAAGAATACAACTCTGCTTTTATTCACATGTACACACATGCTTAACACAAATGCTTAGTTTTCCATTTCTAGTCATGCAACGTTTTGCCTTGCCTTTTGTATTGTTCAGACGAATAATGCAGCTTGACTTTTGTGTTTAATGCCAAGAGTTAGGGTGGCATGTTGGTACAGTGGTTAGCGCTGATGCCCCACAGCAAAAAGGTTCGAGGTCCGAGCCCCAGCTGTCACAGGGCATTTCTATGCGGAGTTTGTATGTTCTCTCTGTGCCTGCCTGGGTTCTCTCTGGGTACTCCGGCTTCTGGCCACGGTCCAAAGACATGCAGCTTAGGTTGATTGGCTACTCTAAATTGCCCATAGGAGTGAATGTGAGTGTCTGTGGTTGTCTGCCTCTCTGTGATAGACTGGCGACCTGTCCATGATGTACCCTGGCTCTCACCCAGTGTAAGCTGGGATAGGCTCCAGCCAACCCACGGCCCTCTTCAGGATAAGTGGTATAGATAAGGGATGGATGGATGCCAAGAGTTACATAAGAAAGACTGATAACACTGTCATGTCTGTGTGGTACCATACATATTGTATGCAACTGCCAGCAGCTGGTTGGCTCAGCTTAGCATCAAAGGATGGGGTCGGCCATTTTCTATTTTAACAGTATTTTCAACGCTCTCCATAAAGAGACTAAAACTAACAGTCACTCTATCTGATTCTGTGTGGGACTTATTTACACACATGCTTTTTTAGTTTGAGATTTCTTTGATTGAGAGTGAGAGAAAGATGTAAAACTTAATTAAAGCTACAGTATGAAATTTTTTTCAAATATTTTTGTTGTAGAAATCTGCTCCAAAACTTGCCTTAATGTGGAGAGGGGCTGTTGAAGCCTCCGGTGACCCAGACTCACTGAACAGCACTGGCAGCAGTGCAGAGATGTTAGCTTCTAAAAGGTTTTGAATGGGACTGACCTCTCTAACCATTCCATCTAGTCTCTCTAACCAGAGATTTTCGATTATTTCTGCTTGAGCAGTAAGTTCTGTTGCATTCCCATTTATTGTAATGAGAGCTGTCTTGTGTTTTGTAATGAGGAAACATGTCAACCTGTGCAGCGTTATATTTCACCGGTGTTTTTAATAATTTTTGAACAACGTTGTAGGTCTATGGCACAGACAAGATAATCCAGGACTGACAAACAAATCACTGTTGGTTTAAGTCTTTGTATAGGGAGTTTAAAATATTGTTCATATAAAAGATGACCAGCCTTATCCTTTAAAACTGGAAATTGGCATAACATATTAGCACAGAACTTGGCTGGGTAATCTTTGCCTCTGTTTCTCCTCTTTAGATTTTTTTATGCTGTGATAAGGTAAGATAAAAAACTGCTTGTTCTACCTTCATATCTATTCTCAGCAAGAATTTTCTAAGCAAAATGCTCCTTTATACAGTAAAACCCACAGCCTTTTCCACTTTATGCAAAGCTAAAGAACAGATATCTAAAGACTGGAAGGGAAAACAAAAGTGTAAAAGCAACATGTTGTGGTTTTATGAGGGTAACTGAACTCTATGCTAAGAAAGAGTCCAGCACATAATCCCATGTGAAGCCATGTGTTTTGATATTTTTGTTTTTGTACAAATTAATGAACAAGATACAGTGTATTTATGAGTGAGCTGGAGATGGTCTGGTAGGCAAGTCTTGTTACCTTTGGGCAGAGCCAGGCTCGCTATTTTCTAGTTTTTACAGTATGCTAAACGAAGCTAATGGCTGCTGGCTGTAGTGTCAGGACTATATCAATATTCTTATTTCATTTTAGCAATAAAATAAAAATAAGCATATTTCCGAAGAGGTCAAGCTTTAAAAGCCACAGCGTTCCCCCCTTAATCTGAAAGAATTCGAACAATTTTCCTTTAACTGCATTTGTGTAAAAGACATATGGAATACTGCTTCTGTCCATAAAATTGTGCCAGAAAACTGTCTGTCAATCCTATAATAAACTGCTTTTAAGTGAAAATCTAATATGTAGGTGCAAAATCCTTTGCAGAATCTATTTACGCACCATAAAACAATGACTCTTTTGATCGAGATGGAAGAAAGGTGCACAAAGTGGGCGTGACTAAAATCCATAAATCACCTGTCAATCGGTCATAAATCAACAAGTTTGACAGAAGCAGTATTCTATATCTCTCTTGTGTAAAATCTAGTTTATTTAAAAAAAAAAAAATATTGTAATCTAACTGCTGTTCTAGAAGAAGAACAAATTGTATGAAAGTATTGTAAGCCGGGAGCAGTGTTAGCCGGTGCTTTTGTATGTGAAGCCGTGTCAAAACAGCATGATAGAAAGCAAAAAGCTTTGCTGTCTTGCATTTACTCTGGGAAACACGACAGATTTAGGGGAAAAATTAGAAATGCTCTAATAAGTACCAGAAAAAAAAGAATCCATGGTTGAATCTGTTTATTTCAGTACTCATACAAAATTATCTGTACAAAGGCTAAAATAGGTCATAGTTTTGCATAGAAGAAACAGTGATTAAAAAAAAAAAAAGACAGGATGGAATTGTACAGTAAACCCCACTCACTATCACACATGGGCCTGATAACAATTAGGTTAAAATGGGGGATAAAGCTTTGTACAAAAATACTCTGCTGCTCACTCCTTGCTGGCAATGGTTCCTACTTTCATCATCTCCCCTTTGTTCTTTTAAAAAAGAAAACCCTCTGCTCAGCTAGTTGACTACCATTAGCTCATGTCAGTGTCTTTAGGACAACAGGCCCTTATCTTCTGTTTTATAAGGAGGCAATGTTAAGGCAGCGTTGCCATGTTTTCATTGAATGCACCATGAGATCTGCTGTGACACACTTTCATTTTGCTCTTCACGTCAATTCCCGTCTACCAACCCCCCAAAAAATTCAGCATTAAACACTGTTAATATGCCTCTTATATAATTGAGTGTGACATAAAGCATCAGGAGCATTAAACATGAAAGGCAATGAGTGTAGGGTGTCCTGGATTTTTTCTTTATTTAAAAAATAGTTGATTTGGAGTAAAGAGAAGGTAGTGCACCACTTAGTATAGGTACTGAGAATGCTTTCACATGTAACAGAGAACTCCACAGGACGAGGCTGGCAGCTATCAGATAGTGCAACCCAGCAGAACACAACATCAAACACACCATTTTTGGAGTGTACACTTGCACTGTTCAGATATTCAGCTTTTGCAAGGGGAAGGATTAGGAAGAGGTTACAGAAATAATATGCTGAAGGTGCCAAAAAGTAAAATAAATAAAATAACATTTTGTGTCAAACTTCTACACAGCAGACAAAACCCAATTACTGCATGTGCATTCTTTCTTCACAATCTCTGTGGCTTACTGGGAGTGCTTCCATGGATGAGAGAGAATACTTTATAGTCCTTCCAAAAAAAAAATAGTTTAACTACAAGATGCAAATGCAGCCAAAAGTCAAATAAAATATGAAAACCATACTGACAGAAACACAAATTTACATTAAATTTACATGACTTCTGTACTTAAAAGGGAAACCAGAAGCAGATAAACTACCAAACATGACAAGATGAATAACTTCTGTATGTGAGCACAGAGGGGCATTTACTGTCAGGCATGTTAGAAAATGGCAGTTAAACTGTTAATGCAAATGTGATCACAAGTAGCAGACGTAAAGTTTAACATTAAGTTAGCCACAATGTAAAAATGAGCATTTGGGACTGATACACTACAGAGACATGGGCTCTGTGTTTCATCGGCATATAATAGTACATGGACCGGCAGTTTCAAAAGACTGCAAATTATACAAGCATGTCATGATTTGATTAAACTAGATCTTAATACAGAGAAGCATGACGACAAGCGTGCATTATGCCTCTTTTGGGCTTCACCCGGTGCTCTATGCCAAATTTTTAAATTTCTATCAATTCTGACTTAAATGCTTTAACTGCCTGTAGCAGTTTTAAGACAGAAAGGCATTTATGCACATTATAGAGCAACATTGTAAACGCTTAATGGTGTCACGTTTTTACAATGAGTGACAAAAGAGCTTCTGTCACGAATGGGGAAAAAAGCCAGTAAAAACATCCTACAACATGAACAGTATTAAAACCACCATCAAAACAGTGAGAACCAATGTCTAAAACTAACATCATTAAACAGTTTTTGTTTAAATGCCATTTATTCCTGGATTCTAAAAACCAACATTTTCTCTGAGCTGAAAACTAGGTGACAGGGGCAGAGCTCAATGGGAGTTCACATAGAGGAGAAAGTGTCAGATCAGTCAGGGACAAAGAGTTACAGAGTTTGAAGGCTGGGCCTCTGAAGCATGACGTCAGATTTGCAGACAGATGCTGGAGTTGTTTTGTTTCTACTATGCTCCATTGTCACGTTTTCTCTGACATCTGCACTTAAACACTCCTTCAAAATGCAAGTCAGAGCAACAACTAAATACTTATCTTGTGTTTCTGTGAAACCTCTTGCCTGCAGTGAGGATACAGTACAGTTTGATTTACAGAACTGTTACATCTACACCACTATAACCTATACCTCACAGCTGCTTTGAGGCGTCCAATAAACACAGCTGTATGTCTAGTGTCAGTGCTGCCAGCTGCAGTATATGTAGTGCCGGGTGTCTGCAGAGCAAGGCAGTAAATAAGGGATGTGGAGAGAGCTTGTGGAGACAGCCAAGCAGAGAAGATGTGGCCACTCGTGCCTGTACATCAGCAGCTGTCATGTTCCCAACTGTGGACACAGTGAGAAGAGACGGAACATATGGGGGCAGGCGATGAATTACAGCCAGCGGGATCGTTGCACTTCACAACCCAAATCTGTTCCACAAAATCCCCACCCCCTTGTCCAAAAACTCTGCCTCTCGGATTAAGTCATTATAAAACCAATTTTAAAAAACGCTAAGAATGAGTTGCAGTGATACGCTGAACCATGGGAATTGGCTGGGAGAATGTCTAATGGGTGAATCTTATTTTAATTAGGAGAGTTAATTGTTAGTTCACATAGAAGCAATACACAGTGTCTGAGTTTACAAGTGACTTTGGACACAGCTAAATAAGCACAAATGGCAATAAATTCTGATGAAACTGACGTGGAGGCACGGGCTGTTTTAAATCAGTTATAACACTTTTCCATCCATCCACCCACGTTTTCACTAATGTTGCCTGATCCACACTGTGCTTGATTGACAGCTTTTTCACTTTTCTGTGGTTTTGTTGCACCAGGACAGTTTACAATCTTTATCGCTGTCCTTAGTTCACAGTGTTTGGTGATGTCATGTGACTTCAAGCATAGCCCCACCAGGGTAATTGGCAGCATCTGTGTGGGTGAGCAGGGCATTGGAATTAGCACATGTTCTTCAACTGCCATGAAAAATGTTAGTGCTCCTCGCACCTGCTGCTGCATCTGCCGGGAATGGAAATGACACTGTGGCGTCGAATAGATAGGCCACTGCTAATTGAAGACGAGACAACAACCCCTCCCATACAGAAAATGGCTAACGAACACAAGCAACATGGCAATTTAGTGTGATTAGCAGCATAAAACACAAGTACTCATATAGGGTTTAAACAAAGCTACAGGTAAGCCAAACCTTTATTTTTATATAGTTCTATTTAGCTACTGTATAGTTTATTAGCTCAATCAGAATTTACAGATGGACTATTTTACTCAACGTTGACCCATTGTACCCAGTGGTGGAAAGTAACTAACTACAGTACTCAAGTACTGTACTTCATACTTTGACTTCACTACATTTTAGAGGTGAAAACAGTCTCTAAATAGATAGATTTCATTTGAATATGATATTTGAATGATTGAATTTGATTCATATAAATGATTTCATATGAAATCCTATTTACTATCATCTATTTAGAGACTGTTTTTATCATGACTCCAGTGATACTACAAGTTCTATAGCTAACTTTTCACCCACCACCCAGTGGTGGAAAGTAACTAACTACAGTACTCAAGTACTGTACTTCATACTTTGACTTCACTACATTTTAGAGGTGAAAACAGTCTCTAAATAGATAGATTTCATTTGAATATGATATTTGAATGATTGAATTTGATTCATATAAATGATTTCATATGAAATCCTATTTACTATCATCTATTTAGAGACTGTTTTTATCATGACTCCAGTGATACTACAAGTTCTATAGCTAACTTTTCACCCACCCTGTACTTTTTTACTCCACTACATTTATTATAAAACACATTTTAGAGGTGAAAACAGTCTCTAAATAGATAGATTTCATTTGAATATGATATTTGAATGATTGAATTTGATTCATATAAATGATTTCATATGAAATCCTATTTACTATCATCTATTTAGAGACTGTTTTTATCATGACTCCAGTGATACTACAAGTTCTATAGCTAACTTTTCACCCACCCTGTACTTTTTTACTCCACTACATTTATTATAAAACTTTACTTTTAGTATGTTTTGATGCTAATACTTTGTACTTTTACTTGTAACAGAGTATTTTTAGAATGTGGTATCCTATTTGAATGATTGAATTTGATTCATATAAATGATTTCATATGAAATCCTATTTACTATCATCTATTTAGAGACTGTTTTTATCATGACTCCAGTGATACTACAAGTTCTATAGCTAACTTTTCACCCACCCTGTACTTTTTTACTCCACTACATTTATTATAAAACTTTACTTTTAGTATGTTTTGATGCTAATACTTTGTACTTTTACTTGTAACAGAGTATTTTTAGAATGTGGTATCCCTTAAGTAGGGGATTTGAGTACTTCTTCCACCACTGGTTGTACCTATAGATATGTGCACACAGCTTTCCTGTGTGGAATGAGGAATTAACATTTTGAGAGCACTCAGTTTAATCTCCAAATAAATGTTAGCTAATGTGATGATAAATGATGTAGCCATGTTGTCAGATTTTCTTCTCAGCATTTGCTTTAAGTACAATTTACAATGTTATCCTAACCAGTGATACAGGATCTAAACATAACCAAATGATGACCAAGGTTAATATTATCTGAACTAGTCCTTTACACCACTGCCTCTTAAAGGTAGGGTTGGCAATCCTGGAAAAAACAGCAAGAGGAAGCTTGATTTTGAAACTAGACAAGAGAAGAAATCCCACCCTTTCATTCTGACTTCTCTCCAATGGCACTCCTCCAAAACACAACGTGCACTGCCTGACTACTACTTACAGATTTCAGGAAAATGACAAATCCCCCCCAAAACAAACAAAACCGATTATTACCTGTCCAGCAGAAATATGCCCACCATGGCGTCACTTTTCTGCCCCTTTTATTCTCTCAGTTGTCGCTGTGGTTCAAAAGCCACACCAATGCTAATTCTGGTTTTACTTTTGCAGCATCCAACTTCTTTTTAGTTGTAACTTTCTCAAATGCGGTGTTACCCTCCCAGATCTGCAGCCCCAGTCCATAGTTGGGGACCTCTGGTTCATGGCTAAGCTGCTTTTACCCTGGCTCATAAAGCCAGTAAACTAGCCTTAAAAGTCTGGGCTGTTCTGGTGGGAAGTGAAGACAGAGGCCAGGTAATTCCATTCAAAGCTCACTTCATAGCTCGCTAGCTTTAGCTATTAAAACAGAACAGTAACATGCCTGTCTGCCTGGCCTTTTGGCAGATTCTTGGGCTTGTGCAAAGGGCAGAATGGGCTCAAGTAGGAAGTAGGCTGACAGGCTGGTAGGCCATCCAACAGTTTTGCTCGTGCCGAGTAAAATTATTGGTCAGGCTTTTTTCAGCCCTGCTGCTGCTGCTGCCAGACATGATGGATTTGTTTCTTTATGTTGTCAATGCATTTAATGCATTCATTGCCATCGGGATGAAAAGACAAATTTCAAGATATGTGACAAAAACTGCTTCTGAACCTTTACCGTGTATGCAGACATTTTGAAACCTAGAGCAGCCTCCCCTGAGGGTGTCTACAACAACAGATATAGAGAATTTTCAGCCTTACGAAGGCAGGCTGATACTCGGGGCTCCTGTAGCGAATCATCAGTAAATAGACATGTCCTACAGGGCATGTTGCCATACCTATCTGTCTCAGCTTTGATCTGCCTACACTTTCACCACCCTCTCCTCTGCTGGCAGCAAGAAAAGGAAGCTTAAGTAAAACTGGCAAAGTTGCATACCAGAGGTGTAATTGTGCAGGAATGTCAGCAGAGATATCGTGTGTACGTTTAGAGCAAAAAGTTCATTGCTTTTTGACTCATGGGAAGAAATTTGAGGTAAAAAAAAAAGGATGGAGGCAGGGGGAGTTGACAGCCAGAATGAGAGGGAGAATACAGTAAGTTGCACAGAGTGAAAGGATAAGATCTCTTGAATATAGAAGTTCTAGCCGCCTCCACTAACACAATTGATGGCAGCAGCAAGTCAACATGTCTGCCCCTGCTTTTCTCTGGGTTTATGTGTGCTATTTTTTTCCTATCCTTTGTAGCTTGGACAGTGTGATAAAACACACCCACACAGCAACAAACACACTCAATTCAGGCTGTATCTCAAAGAGGGGACTTCGTCACCCATATCTCTACACTTGACAGTCCTGGTAGGGCCCTAACAAACAGCCACTTTGCACAGTTATGCTGTCTCACAGGGAATGGGAATACTGCTGCTGTGTGGCAGCACAACACGTGTACAGTAGGTGCATGTTTTCACAGGCAGATTTGTGCATTATGGTTTATTATTCAGAGGATACTGCTATAAAACAAATCCACCAATGGTTCTTCCTGCTTACACCATGTCCGTCTATCATATTCTCTATTAAACACCATTCCAACATGCCTGTGCCCCTCTGCAGCAATGTCACATCAAAACCACCACCACCACAACACACTCACACACACACACAGCATGTCTGAGAGCTCATTGAACTGATCTGTTTGCCACTTGCAGAACATTCTACAGGATCATGGATGTTAAACTCACAAAAAAGGGAAAAAGAAAATGTATGACAAAAGTAGATCTGTGAAGTAGAAAACTAGCATGCCGGGTTGGAAGTATTTCATTTACAAGGGAAAAAGGGGGGCTTGAGTTTACTCAACATGACGAAAAAAATCTCCATGAGAGGTGGAGGGTATTGTCAGTTTTATATGTTCACTTTGCCACAGAGTGGGTGTGTGGGCATTAGTAAAGTCCTCATTGTATCAATGCCTGTCCTTCCTTCAAGAAAATTGTTAGTCCAAGCAAAAGAAAAAAAAAAAGAAGAGCAACAATCAATGGGATTCTCTTCCTTGCCAAAACTAGGTGTCCCTTCGTTTTCAGTTGTGTTACTCTTTGGCAAAATGAATGGTGAGGGGAGAGAGCAAAACAGATCAGGGACACAGCTGGAATCTGTACAATAGGTCTTGAGGGGAGCTGGGGGGAGAGGCAAAGGATGCTCTAAAGAGACTGTAAAATGAGGGGGGAAGCAGGGGTGTTTTTAAATCAGAGTCTTATCCCATCAGGCAGTGCGGCTCCTCCCTATCGAGTCCCCCCCTCCTCCAAGGTTAAGCATCATACTTCTTGCCCGTTCTGTGGATGTGGTGGAACAGCGTCATGGAGAACGCCATGCCTAGGAGCTGCAGAGGACACAGAAAAGAGATAATGAATTTGTGTTTGTTTCTGTGGAATATATGTGTGTGTGTTTGTCTCTGTGTGATCGTCTTGATGTTGATGCCTTGGGCTGGTTTATTTGATGCACAGCAAATTCTGCGAAGAAGAACAAGCAGATTTTTGTTCACTTTCTTTTTCCAGATGACCTTTAAACACCAACTCTGGAATCTTTGTGATGGAAAAAAAATGTACAGTGTGCACGAGCCTTAAGTCAGCGAAGTAAATTGAGATGCCATTGAATCAGAGTGGCCAGCTATCTCTTTGAAGTTTCCATTACCCCTGACACTTCTACATCAAACACAGTCACAAGACTGATCTAAAACTGGCAGAGTTTGACAGCAGGGAAACTACAAACTACTTTATGGTAGGTAGTCTTAACAAAGGAGACAATGTGGACATCCTGCACAAAAGCTCCACTGGGGATTCCTCCAGTGTGTGTGATTATCTTAGGAAAGCTTCTGATTCTCTCCCTTTAGTTTCAGTCTGAACCTAATTCGCAGGGCTGCTTCAGAGAAAATACCACCTTAAGCTGCTATCAATCAAAACATGAAGAGCTGTTTGAGGTAAATATCAAGCTAAGAAGGAATTAGGACCAATAAAAACGGCTTCTAAAAAACAAACCAACTGTTTACACGTGGCTCATCTGTGCAGCTCTGACATGCATGGGAAGTTTTTAACTGTCTGTTTCATTCAGTCTGTGGGAGACAGCGCGACAGTCGCTCCTACAGGACTCTTCAAAGCTCAATCACCTGTACCTGCTTCAAGAATATATAAATGCTGCAGAGATGTCTGAAACCATTTTGGGTGAAGTTATATTGTACATATCGTCTTTTGGTCCAAGTCTTTCATACAAGCGGCTAGTCTAAATCATTCATAAGCCAGGCTTCTGTGCCTGTGGCTATTATGTAACGATGCAGGCCCATGGGGCATACTAGGCTTTTCATGATGCTCACCGCTATGTTGTCCGCCCCGCCTTTGAGGCTGCTAATCTGACAGCTCAAGGTCTGTTTCTCTGCTTTCCCACCCTTCACCCAAATCGGACAATGTGCAAGTGTGCGTATAGAGAGGTGGAGGAAGTTCCGTGAAATTAATGCCAAGCCTGGTTGTAGAGTTTAATTCTACACGAAGACTTTCTCAATCTCCAAACAGGGCCGATGATTGGCAGTGTTTTACATGTGCATGCTGTGAGTGTTTGGAGAAGAAATGGACAGTGATAGTGTCAGACAGAAAAGAGTATGCGAGTTAGAATAAATGCATGTGAGCAGGTAAGAAGAGAGCGTGATCTTGTTATGAATACATATAAATCTCAAACAACATCTTCCCCTGAAGACAGAAATGTGCAGAGTCTTACAAAATTCAACATGGAGCTGATGATGCTGGGAAAGAGCCATATTTTCACGGATTAGCAGACTGAAGACTTGCATGAGTGCTCTCACAGACAGGTCAGGACAGCAGGCAAAGTAAAGCAAGGAGGAATGTCACACACATGACAAGTAAAGGGAACCGGTGAAATGCAGGGGGTGATACTGTACACAGCATGAACAGAAAGACTGAGAAGTGAGTGACATGCAATTATTTTACCTAAAAGTGTCAAATGATGAGACTGACAGTAGAGCTGTCTCTTATTTGTGTGTGCTGTGAACCTTAAAGAACTGGAGGAGTGAAATATAAGGATGGGAAGGTGAAGTGTAGCAGGTAGGTGCTACAGATCAAATGGGATCAGGAATGAGGTTGCAGCACAGACAGCTGTTGTTAGAGAGGCTGATCCTCGGGCGGAGCAGAGCTCTTAAGGTGTGTTCAGACTGAACATGAAGTGAATTTTTAGACAAAGCATACTAAGTTGAGTGGGTGTGCGATAAGATGTGCTCAAAGTAGTGCACAGTGAAGCAAAGGCACATCCACCCATTTATGCATCCATCTGTCGGGGAGTAGGAGCCTGTCCCAGCTTGGATTAGGCAAGGGGAATGGTACCCTGAGTACGCTGACAGCCTGTCACACATTCCTTCACTTGTCAACTCTACTCTGCCTGCCTGCTTCTGGATTGTGGTTGTGTACAAAATGCAACGTGAGTGAGCAAGTTGAAATGTCACAAATTGAGCAACAATGACCCCATTTTAGAAATGTACAGTGCAGAGACATCAGGAAAAGAAAAACAGAGACTGAAAGAGATTGCACAAAGAAGCTGGAGCTGTGAGTTCTGAGCTCAGTCAGAGCTGTCACACAAACACTGCACACCTGGAATTTACACACATACACGCACAGTTGGTGCATGGGCTGTTAGCTATCTACAGCTGATGTCTCTACATTAAATTTACTGGCTGTCTCAAGCAGATAAACAGACTTCAAAGACAGTCCTGCAGTTAGATTTATGCAAACCTGAGGAAAAAGAATTTGCTTTGCTTTGTTCAGTCTGAAGACACTTTTAGGACTCAGACTCCAAGTAGGTGCAAAAACTTCTGTGAACAGAGTGAAAGTAAGACAACAAACTGCATAAAGAGGGATAGATGTAAAACAGAGTAGAGGACAAAAAGAGAAGCCAGAAGAATATCTATGACTCCTCTCTGCATTGCCTTTAATCTGCGCCGCTATACCTGCTGGTCTATATTCGGTATCTCCGCTCTTATATCTTCTGATATACGACTAAAGCCTGCCTGGCGCAAAGCCAGGTGGGCTTTGATTCTCTCATACAGGATAAGGGTGCAGAAGACAGTCACTTCAATATTCCACATTTCTGGGTAGACAGTGGTGGCACAGAGGCCACTGGATGTGCACTGTTTTTAAAAACATGTTGCCAGACGATCAGACACAAACAAATGCACCCAGACACAAAGCAACAGAAGAAACAGAAGGAGGGAAAATAAAAGGGAGTGAGGCAAATAAATGCAGAAGGAAAGAGTAATTCATCACTGAGCCTCCTACCTGCACTACCAAGATGACCATGCCTATGGTTCCCAGCAGGTGCTTGTTTTCATCCAGCCATTCCTCCACTTTCTCAAAGCAGCCCTGAAATGGAATAAAAGCTTGTAGAGCTACAGGTAAAAACATGCAGGAATCATGTAACTTCAGTCACAGTGCTGCTTGTAGCCTGTTTGGTCAACTAAGAAAACCCAGAGTGGATTAAGAAGGAGTGTGACAACATAATGGCAGATTATAGGCACATCAAAGTGTTCCAAACTTTAGGAGCAGCGCCATGGAGTTACACGGGCTTGTCTGTCATCTTCTAAAGTAAAAAGTTCAAAATTAATAGCAAAAGTCTAATTAGACTTGTGACATTTTAAGTAAGCGATGTGAATTTTATACACATTGTACAACTTTTTTGACTTTAATAATTAGGTACCTAGCTAACTGGCTAAATTAGCTGAGCTATTTACAACAACAGAACAAATAATTGGTTTGCAAGGCTGCTCAAGTCATTAAAAGTAGGAATTTGTTGATAAATCCTGTTAATTGCTACTTGTAACTATTTAAAGCTACATGAGTCATGTGACCCACTCCCGTTTTTGACTCCTTGCTCTCACAACTCTTCTATCTTAAGGGCTCTGGGAAAACCTAACCATCCGTTTATCGCTTCTCCAGAGAATGATCATCTCTTACATATGAGAAATACCCTCGGATGAATGAATTACCAGGTGAAGTGTTAAAACAAGTGAATGGCCCATGAGTGATGACTTTTATATGCAGATTTATGGGCCATATGGACAGATGTGTGCCTCCTAAATGTTTTGCAATGTTTTTCACTGGCAGGGAGATGGGGTAAAAGACTTCAGTGGTGCTCCTTCTGGAGTGTGGGTGCTATGGCAGCATGTCAAGTCTCAGCTGTACAGTGTGTGGCTGTCTCCTCTGGCAAGCATTACACACAAGCTTTTAGTGCTGCGCTCTCCCGATGGGCCAGCTCCATGTCTGCCTATTCTCATTTTGGCAATTGTATTACAGCTTTTAATCCTCTACTTTGGACCTGCTAACAAACTGCATGCCAGACCAACAGCAGATTAGACTTGTAATTGGGAGAGACTGGTGAAAATTGTGCTGTATACTGAGCTGTTGTCTGTAAAATGAAAAGAATTCATCGTGATCAGAATTTGTGGAAAACTTTAAAGCTACTTTAAAGACACACAAAGTACACATAATACACGACTACTAAAGAGATGGAGACAGGTTCAAGATGTGTAACATGAATAATTTTAATGTCCCCTGTGAATGAAACAACATAACCATGTCGTTTGGAGTTATTTGCCTCTCTCTGTAGTCATTTTGTCTGTTTGCAGTTCTTTTGATTCTCTTTTTAGCAGTGTTATGTGTGTGTTTTGGTTGTTTTGAGCATTTTTTGTAGTCATTTGGTTGACTTTCCAACAAGAAATGTGACCAGAGACTGCAAACAGAGGCTCTGAGCCCAGTAGACCCATTCACTATTCTATAACAAACAAAAAACCTGTTTGTATTTACATGTTAGTCAGTGAGAACTCACTGTGTTCCAGAACAAGTTGGTGGAGTTGCGCCCACAGTTCTGGTAATGCTCCTGGCAGCAGCGGTCAGGGACTACCTTCTCCTTCAGGGCCTCATGCCAGTCGGTGTATGCTATCACACCGCAGCACTTCCACTGTGAATGCCCCACACACACACACACACACACACACACACACACGTCAGACACCGGACTGGTTAATGCCAGGGCCAGTCCAGGGAGACCTTACTAACTTTAACATAACAAGTATTGTAATTAGTCCTTTGCTTTAGAAGGCCACAATAACAGAATAAAGTGTACTTCAACAGCCAATTTTGACTTTTAATGTTGCATTAAAACCATAGTAACCAGCCAGGAAACACATTAGCAGAAACATTTCAGTAAAACATAGCATTTATGCATCACCCCTAGTGCTGTGATTGAACATTCGTGCTAATGCGTCTACTATTTGATGTAGTGCATGGCGTGAACTACCTCTGCCTGGATGATGTTCCAGGCATTTCGCAGGCCTATGTTGTTTTCTGAGTTGTAGAGAGCCAGCCCATCCTTCAGATCTTGCTTAGCATTCTCACTCACCTGGAGAGGAAAAGGACAAAAGCAGGCTCAGTTAGAGATCTTCGTTTAAAGGTGGTTGCCTCAGCAAAACTATGAATTGTTTTGGTGTTAATTATAATCTTCATAGTGGAGAAGGTCGCTGAATCTTGACTGTTTGTTAGGTGGCTTTACATTATTTGCTCTTTTCAGACAGTGTCTTTTTCACACAGATACAAATGATAATGGTGCAGAGAAGTGCTTTCAACTGGTTTTATAGGGATGATCATGAATTCCTCTTTCTGTGAGTACACAGACAGAAACAATTACAGTACCAGTGGAAAATAACAGAAACTTTACAGCTCAGTTACTCTTAACCTTTCTTCTTGTCATCTAAAAATAACCATACTACACTGACATGTGCGTTCGCAGATTTGACACGTCATGTGTCGTGTCGCTTGACACACACATCTTCAACACATCCTTCAGTTGAGCTAGCAAATCATTTTCCTCTTGAGCGAACCCCAACGATGCGCTCAGGGTGTGCCATGTCTGACGGAGATTAATATCTCATTGGATGTGTTAATGAGATATAAAAATCAGAGCTTCAGTTCCTCTGCTGTTCACTTTGCCCATGGGGATTTGCAAACTGCCAAGACAGATTGAGAGGCACTTCAGATATGGGGTAATTATTACTGAAAAAATGACATGCTCTGTCAGAGCCATGCTGCACAGTATCACAGGCACTACACGTCCTATTAGAACAAAAGGAATATATTTGCTTTAATAGTAAAAACCAACCTCAAACTATGTAGAAAAAAAAAAATCTGTGCACAATAAGAAATGCTGCGTCATATCTGTCACTACCTGACACAACAAAGTGCTCTCAGCTATTCTCCCGGCTCTTTGCTCAGAGAAGGAGCTAGACACTGCTGCTCAGTAAATCCCTCTGTTAAAGAAATGACATGCAAGAAAATTTGAAGCAGTCTGGTAGATAACACGAGCCTGCTTTTATATAAATACAATTCTAATGTCACTTGACAAATTACCTGTATTCTGTACATTGTGCTGTATATGAGTGAAAGACCCAGCCTTCCTCTGAACACACAGAAAACTAGATTCAGCTTTAAGTGTGTTAAATTAAGTGGTTTAACAAATTACTGGTGGGAAGAAAATGCCTGAAAGCCATGTTTTCTGAGCTGCAAGGCATAAGAAAACTATTAGCTGAACTAACCATAAATGTCAGATTTATTTTACTGAGTAATTAAAGTTTTCCTGGCAATAAAATGCTTTCATTACACATGCACCAACTATTTAAAACATCTAAAATTTAAGATTAGTCTCATTTCAAATCACTTTTTTGTTCTGTAGCATTGCACCTTGGGCTGCATGTAGGCCCTTCCATTTCTGTCCTTGTGTGGGAAAATGAAATGAAGAGCCACATCATCAATCTCTTTGTTTCTATCCTCTCTCTTCTCCTCAGCATCCAGGCTATGGGTAATGCTGCTCGCTCATTATTTACTCCTCACACAGTCTCTGGAGAGCAAGGGCCCCCCGACTACACTAAAAAGGCATTTTCAGAGTCTCCAGTAAGTCTCATATCTTCTATTTTATGTGTGAAAGTCTCTGTTACAGCCTCAAATGAAACTTAATGATCCAGATTTACTGCTAACGAGAGGCAGACAAATGACTGCAGAACAAACTGGGGTTTGATCATGCAGCACTCTGACCCATTTTTTCTTGCAAAAGGAGAAGTTACAAACACATTTTTGTTGTATTAGCCTATTTCTCTGATAACGAAAACTAACCTTTTGACTGAAGCTCATGTTCATATTCACAAATAACAGACTGACACTGTGGAAATATTTAACACACTGCACTGTACATTTTCTCCAGATGTTGCCACAAGGCATCATTGCAACACCTCAAAGCCCTGAGGCACAGCTCATACATCTCATTGCATAGATAGCATGGCTGTGTTCTCTGGGCTCAGTAATACAGGACAGCACATTCATCGTAGAAATCTAAAAAGTTCTGCTCAGCCAGGCGGGAGAATGCCCGACAGTCAGAGAAAAGGAGAAAACAGAGGGAAAAGTGCAGATATACATGTTGACAGGACAGAGGAAGGAGTAGGCTTTTATCTCCAGATTGGTGTTTTCTGTCACTGTGCAGAGCAGCAGAGAACAGAGTGGGTGGTGGATGGTCTGATAAACACCTGTCTGTCACTTGAGTTGCTGTAACAATACAAGAAATCCATTCAGTAAGGTATTAAAGCGATTTGTTAAGCTAGTTTTCAGCTTGTTTTATGCTTACACTGTTCTTCATTGCTCTTTGGTTTGATCCGATTCCAGCACAGAGACAGTATTAGTTCCTGTGTGAGCGCTCCTTATTGCCCCAGTTCTGGTGCCATTTAAACACCTTGGGGACTGGGTACAGTGGGACCTGTTACAGTGCAGACATGGAGCCACGCTGCTCACTCATTACCAGAATACACAGCCATGACCCATCTGAATGCCCCGCTTTTCAAAAATCTGAAAGTTCTCGTTGTCTGTGTTTCAACATTCATATGCACCACAAATCTGATTTTCCTGTTTTCCAGCAAAGGTTACATGTACAATCTATATGACAAATTTACAGGTATGCGAGTTGTCCTGCACTGTGGACTTTCTCATTAGTTTTGCCTCTGACGACAGCTGACTAACAACTGGTGTCTCAGAAGGCAGTTTGGTGAACGCTGTGAAACATTTACAACTGCGCACATAACACAAGAAAGCATTGCTTATTTATAGTAGGTGGTGTGATGGGTATGTAGAAGTGCAATTAGTGTATTGTGTATGAGTTTTATTTACTTAAGTTCGGTTTTATTCACAGTTGCTATTTATCACTTTGAGCAATTACCATCTTCAAACGATGTTAGTGTTTAACTCCAAATGAATCACAGTCTCTGTAGTGCAATTTGACAAGTACAGAAAAAACAGGGGAAAAAAAAACAGGCTGTGCAGGTGGTTCAATAAACATGTTAGCACTCTCAAAGAAGCCAAGAAAATGGGGGGGAAAACAGCCCATCTGTGAAATAAGCCAAACTGCACATAGAGTGTATAAACGTACTGCCAGATAACCACCTTCTGTACACGCAGTAAGGAGATAAGCAGGAAGAAGAAGAAGAAAAAAGTCACCAAAAACAAACAACAACAACAAAAAAAACAGAAATTTCCTAAACTAAACCTGCAATAGGGAATGTGAAGTTGTCATCACGCCATGTTGAATTTAGGATAAATGCCCTATTTTGGGAGCATCATGCTCATTATCAGTCATAAAGATATATATATATATATATATATATATATATATGGTACATATTGTACATCTACAAGTTAATAAAAAAAAACAAACTACCCAATACATCTACATACAGTAGTGGATGCTTCAATTACGTCCAAATAAATAAATAAAATGAAATGAAAAAATGTCCACATTAGTGTTCAGTCTGAGCACAGACAGGATAGAAATTGATTCATCTGCAGTGTTTGTGTGATCTGCTCCTGAACCAAGAGCTGAGATCAGGGTGCAGAGTCATTTTTCAGTCTGTTGCTCTCGTTGACAAGATCTGTGCTACGAGTTAGCTACAGTAGCTAATCTTAGCCATTCTGAATGACCACAGTCAGTAAGGTGAGATCTAAACCTTTTAAGCTATTTTTTAGCCAAACAAAACAAGAAGGCATACAGGTAATGCATCCCTGGAAAAATGGCGCCCCTGTCCCAACATTCAACACAGCGTGATGTACCTTCACATTCTCTATAATTGATTTTTTTTTTCTTAGCACTTGGGAGCAACAATACATACAGTAGCATCATATTTGATGTCTAACAGGTTAGCTAAAAGTTACTGTATTCACATACATTAAGCTGAGTTTTAGGGTTGTTGAATGAATGCCCAAATTCACTCTCCTTGTTTTCAGTTTCACTAAAACCTGAGGGAAATATTTGGCTCTTTAGCAGTTAAATGTGCCACTATGTTCATTAACTGAGTCACAAATTTTGTCTGTGTGCTGTTAGACAAGGTCATGTGCAGTGGGGTTTTAAACATTTTTGCTGAAAACAGCAGACAGCTGCAACCAGAAATGAAGCTATGATGAATGGTCAGAGTGAACAAAAACAGTACAGCTGTACAGTATGCTGGAAAACCACCAAAGTTATCTTAAAGAAAGGGGGGGTCCAAACATCATTAGTAAATCCCTCCCTTTATTGGCCCATTTACTCTAATATAATACCAGATTATTCATATTACTCTCTACACTGTGGAAAGCCATCTTATCAATAATGGTGCACATGAAAGCACATGGAAATGCCACATCAATTTTGTACGAACATGATTGCATATTTAAACCACTGCAACAGATTTGCCTTGACAACATTTTGGTCATATTTGAAATGATTTAGTTTGAGGTTTGATAACTATGATGTTGGCACAGCCAGTCAATAGTTTGGACGCACTTTCCCATTTGACTGGTAGCGTATGTGGAAAAGAACATGGTCTAAATAAAGAAAAATGCATTACTTTTCATAAGTATAGCATGGAGTTTTCCATTAACGCAGACCCCAGAATCATACTAATGGTAAAAGTGTAAATAAACACCATTTACTCTAACAGAGAGGACTCTGCTCTAACCATATATCCTCTATGCAGGATAATTCTTCAACTTTATATTTACCCTCATCTATCATCTGGAAATATGACAAACAGCACCACAATCCAGAAAAACTGTCACTTATTTTACTGGTTCTGTGAAAGAAATAAACCTTTCTCCCCTGTGTTGTAAGATCACAGAAACATTGTTGGCTTATCTCCAGTCAGCTGTATAAGAGTGATGAGTGTTGCCTTATAGTCAAACAGTAAACAGACACTAACTTGTATCATCAGCTGGACACTATTCAAGGATAAACTTGGGTCAACACACTGAATCTGCCTTTTACACATCTCATTTGTTACATTCACTCTATTGTAACTCTTTCCAAAGTGTTTAGTACTTTTATCCTCTCTTACACAATCATTACTGGGTCACACATGTACTCAGGGCACACTGGCTTTAGCTGTCAAATCCTTTGACTCTTAGGACCCCAAGATCAATTTTTTACTGTTGCTCTTGTTGCACAGCTTTGGACAAGTGTATTGGCTAGATGCCTTGAAAGTTTAATGAAGAAACGGGGCAACAGCATGAGACCCAGAGGTGCCCAACATCAAATCACTAAACAGGACACTTAATTCCCTCAGTAGCTCAGCAAGCCTGTGCTGGGCAGCTCGAGGACAGGGCGCTCGACAGAGCAAGGGGAAGACCCTTTGTAAGAGATTTAACATAATTCTGTCAGTATACAAATGTAACATGGCATTATTTGTCTGCTGGATTGTTTGGTTCTTAGTAACAGGAACACTAGCCTTCTCTGCTCCCAGACTCTCTGTGTTTTATCTCCCCCTTTTCTCTCTCACCTGTGCTCACCTGTTCTCTCTCCACCTTCCCCTCCCCCTTATACCTTTTTATGCCCCTTCTCCTTACATTCCGGTGCACATCCTCTGTTGCATCCCTCCCATGCCTGCCAGGTTCTGCTTCCTCATTTTGAGCTAATAAACCTTCACTGGTGTTCGGCTCGGCGTGTTGGGTCGATGGAGGCACAATGAGGTCACAATGTTTAAGACGGATGGCTATAATCTGGTTTGTGGCCCAGCCATCTGCTGTAGTCAGCTGCTCGCTAACTGCAGGGCCAGCCTTTATTATACTACGGCTTCTACTTGGCATTTAATCAGACAGCTTAAGACCACCGGGCTATGAAGGCAAAGATGGGGTACCGACACATAAGCCCTACCTAGAGGAATGACTGCTGGGTTGTACACGAGAAAGAAATTCTCTATAAGGAACAAAGAGAACTACGTCTTAAGCAGGATTAAAGTGGATTGAAATGCAGAAATAAGGGGAAATAGGGTGGCTGAATGAAAGCAGTGAAAACAATGTGTTCCCGCAGTAAAACCAGATACTGTATGTTCACTCCTTCCTTTCCCCACAGCTCATTGAAAGCTTATCATCCAGAAGGATCACAGTTCACAGACGTATCAATCATAACTTAAAGATGACCTATTCAAAAAACTAACGTATCTGTTTTGCAGACCTCTGTCGATACATATTTAAAAGCTGCCAACTTCTGTATATCTTCCAGGCTTGTTAATAAATGCCTTGTGATTAGGAGATCAAATAGGAGAAGTGAATTAGTGATTCCTCTGATCACAGCCTGTAGCAGAGGATGAGAAGAGCCTCACACAGCATAACAGATCTCACTGTAGAGTAGCAAATCAATATCTGACTTGTTTGAGACACCTATTGTCCTGCATCTAATCCTGACATATTATCCTATAATGCTGAGTAATAGCACCAAACAATTTCATCTTTTTAGAGGCCATTTGTAAATGTTACCTCCAGTAACTTATAATTTGCTGCAAGAGCCTTTCTATCGAATGACATTTCAAGAACAATAAAGGGAAATATTTGGTAATGTCAGTAATATAGTGTTTTCGCTGTACTTTGGCAAGACAGAACAAACTTAAAATACAGTTGATACTCACTGGAGCTAAATGAGATATTGTTCCCTGACTAACACTGTGCTTTACTAAGGCAGACTATTAGATTTGTCATTTAAGGACTCCTCATGTCTATCTGGCACCTGACTTCACAGGTGATGTGAAGGCACTGCTGTGAAGTTAAGAAACTCTCTATTTAAGTTCCACTGGAGGGATTTTGGTTTGGAGTTGTTTTTTTTATGTAAAACCAGTAATATTATAGAGATAAAGCAACAGACATATTTACCCCTGACAGGGTGTGCTTGTGAGACCTGATCTAAATCTGAGAATGGATTTGCTGCTAAATGAATTCCTTTATCTGCCTGAGAGGCAAAGTTTGAGCAATAACCTCAGAACAAAGAAGGAGAATTAGCTGACATCCCAGGGGCTGGGTGACACAGAGACTTTGAATATATAAATAGATGGATCTATCAACACTGTGTCCTTGAAAGAAGATAGAAGACTTCATTGCTTGTCCTGTAATGTACAGGAAGGAGGCTTGTCATCTTCAGAATGTAACCTTTGTGTTGCCATTTTATTAAACATGGAAAGGAATCTAGCCTGCTTGTGGATGACACTAATCTCCAGAGCTTTATGTCTGTTATCACCATATAAACATAGAGTACATCTAACCTGAGCCTGCTCAGGGGGTCATGGGAAATGTACTTGGGACCAATTACAGGGAGCCAACTGGTGGGGACTGGGCTGCATTTTGTGACTTAACCTTTGACTGCGGGTTAATGGTAGAATAAAGACATTCAACCTCCTTCCTGAAAAAAAAAAGGGATGCTGCGGACCCCTGGAGCATGGATATGTTTATCCAACTAACGCCTTTTATTGCGTGGTGCTGTTATGTGTGGTCCTGTGTGCTAATTTTAAGACATTAACTTTCCAAGGCTAGTGCTTTCAAGCTGTTATGTATGCCACAGAGCCTTGGCACCTCATGTACACACTGTGGATAAGCCGCAGTGAAGTGTTAGATTGCATAAAGAAAAGGTTAGAGAGTTAACTGGAACAAGAAGAAATGCAAGCTTTAACATTCAGACTTCACTTGAAAAATAAAAAATAACTTACCTTATCTGAGTACACAAAGAACAGGATGAGAAATATCAGCTCTGCCAGGAGAATTATCAGCAGGACAATGAAGAACTGTCAGAGAGAGGGATGGAGAGTCTGTTTTTAACAGCTGCTCTGGCAATACTGTCAATCCACCATGAAATGCTGATGAAAACATGCTGCGTGCAAGTCTGAGAGATGAGGCCTCATTTATAGTAGTTTGTGAGGAAAAACAGTCACTACATGACTGTAATAGATTACATACATGACAATATTCATACTGTATATCTTATAAAAGGTTCTGCATCTCTAATGTATGGTGCATTTGATTTGTACTCTGTAATTCCTTCTATAACTACTCCCAGAAAGGGACATGATCAGTCAAATTTAGGTTAAAGGAATAGTACAAAATTTGGGGAAACATATTTGCTCACTTGTCAAGAGATAGATAAGAACCAGTACCACTCTCATGTCTGTATAGTAAATATGAAACTATAACCTTTATTTTAGTGTAGGATTCAGACTTGTGACAAAAGGAAATAGCTAGCTGGCTGAATGCAACAAAATCTACCTAACAGTACATTTTAAGGATTTAAACAAACAAGATAAAATGCAGTAAAAACCTCGGAAGTGCTATAAGGTGGATATTGTTGGCCTATCATTGGCCAGAGCCACGCTAGCTGTTTATGTTAAGGTAAGCTAACAAGCTGCTGGCTGTAGATTAATATTTACTTTACAGACATGAGAGTACAAATCCTTTCATCTAACTCTCAAAATAAAATGCGAAGAAACAAAATAAGTATTCACCAAGATACTTTTACAGTAACTACTTCCAAGTACTTCTTCAAAGTTAATGATTTCAGTTTGGGAGCAGAATATACAAAGACTCAGATTTCTAAATAAAAAATAAAGCACCACACACTCAAAAACATTTTAATGCCATAAATTAAGACAGAAAAAGAGAGATGAATGAGGAGGTGGGAGAATCTGAGTGCCAGAGGGCTTGTGAATGTGTGAGAGGAATGGAAGAAGGTTTAATACCTCTGAAGATTAATTTCCAACAGAGCCTTACATCTCATCTAAGCTACTACCCTCCTCTCCCTGTTGACTCCCCTTCAGCTCAATATTTACACCGCTCTTGTGCACAGCATGGGAACCTAGATTTTAAAAAACGGCATTAATTCCAAACTCATCTGGGAGGGTAGAGGTAGGCTATTATTTGCATCAAGGCCCAAATGAAATAGTTACAACAGTTGTTGGTTGGCTCTCTGGGCCGCCAGTTGAACGAATTTCCCTTCACACTGGGTTTGTCTGGTGCTGAAAGTTAAAGAAACAGCTTCTGTACATTGCAGTGGTGGTGCATCGATGGCTCTGTGTGAGAATATGTGTATGTGTGTATGTATTCATATGCATACGTAGCTATGTTTTCATTTGCCAGAAATTATCACTGTCAAGATTTTAAAGAGTTGACACTTAAGACAAATATTTCAGTGCTTTCTATCCCAATTTCTTTTTTCCAATGTGCCTGAATAAACAGTTTTTGGCAGCAAAAAAGAGAGAGTGAAAATTAACTGCTGAGGATGTCTAGTCTTTGAATATTTCTAACCCAGAAACTGTTGTCAGCAGGGAAACTTTAGAGATAATACCTTAAGATAGATGCTCAGATCTGTTTACTCCAGGAGATCTAAACCCACTCTGATGTTTCCAGGTCCTGCGATGCCACACCTCCACCCCCCACCCTTGGGTGTGCTTGGACAAACTAACTAAAACACACACACACAACTAGCAAAAACCTCAACAACAACTGGAACTGTCATGAAAATATAAAAAGCTGCCACACAACGATGTGGCAAGAGACTTAATGAGAAGGTCTAGATTATCCATTAAGCCCCTTTTTTTCTCATTGCAGTCATCTTTTCTCACGCCCTCCTCCACTTCCTCCTGGCACCCTGCTCTCTTCCTCGCCACCTCACAGTTATTAGGTAAAGGAAGTCATGTTGAACACTGAGGATTTGGTAGGGACTTCTGACTGACGCAAGAGCTTCAAGGGATTGAGCTGTTTGTGATGTTGAGTACCCAGAGCACCAGCTCCACTTCTCATTTAAAGTTTCTACAAATGAAAGTTTTTATTTTTCTGCAGTGGATCAACACACTGGGTGAACTTTTGTAATGAACTTGTGTTTAAGATGAAACACTTGTCTAAATTTGTGCCAACAGTGAAATGTAATGACAGAGTGGTCTTTGTAATGAATAATGGAATGTTCTCAATTAATGAGTTGAAAAATATCAAGTGTATTTATTGTGCTATCTACATACAGTGATTCAGCCACGTTTTGTGACAAAAGGCACCCCGACTGGCAGCTCTTTCACTGGGCTGTGATGAAAGCCATGGAAATGACATGAATGCATTGGTGTTCACTTGCTCAGCTCTAATTTTCCTTCTGCGCGCCCCTGAGGTTTGAAACAATGCAAAGTGAACTTCTCCTGTGAGTTGTCTACCTCTTCTGAAGTTCTGTTTGGAATACAAATGCAAAGAAGTGGAAAGTACCAAAAGTAACTTTGTTACTGTACTTAAGTGGATTTTTCAGATATCTGTACTCTACTTGACTATTTTTCTGACAGCGTGTTACTTTAACTCCCTACATTTTAACACAAATGTCTGTTTTCTACTCCTCATGTCTCCTTAGTCCATTTTAAAGGGAATTATCAATCACTTTATTACTTTTATTTTACACATGCTGCAAATTGTGCACACCGCTGCACTGGGTGACATTTCTTCATTTAGAGCTCTCTGCTGTGTTTACAGTGCGCTAGCAGTCTTGTTCATGCTCAGTTGAGTCTTGCTTTAATATTGGCATTCGAAGCTTTTTAAAGAGCCACATTTTTTTTTACAAATATACTGGTCTTGTGTTTTGTAATGAAGAAGCATGTTACTCCGTGCACCAGGGTCTTTCACTGATGTGCTTTTAATCATTTCTGAACAACAACAACGAAGGCCTGTGGCACAGACAAAAAAGCTGATCCAGGTTGGAGACTGACAGATATTAACCGTGAGTAGAGGCAGTTCATTGTTTGTTTTAGTCTCTTTATGGGGATTGCTGAAAATACCATTAATATAGAAAATGACCAGCCTTATCCTCTAAGGCTTAATTAGACCTGAAATGTGTTCTTGTTAGTTATTGTTAATTATTATTATTGATATATTTTTAAATGTATATTTATATATATATACACATACATTTATAAATATGGTATATGGTATATTTTTGGTATTTTTTTATTTTATTCAAAGTTAGAATGGTTTAATTGTCTTGGAAATATATTAATATGACACGACGTTAGGTTTGCACAGAAACAGCTGGCAGAACTCTCCTTCAGAGGGCTACATGAGTGCACGTCAGAGCCTGTACTTTTTTACTTTTACTCAAATAAAGAATTTGAATCAGTACTTTACTTTTACCAATCATTTTTTACACTGGTATCTGTACTTCCACTTGAGTAATGAATGCGTGTACCTTTGCCACTTCTACCAATACACTGCTGAATTCTCGCTGGCCTGTGACTAGTGCATGTAGGTGTATGTGAGAGGCTGTCTCCACAACACATTTCAGTCAATATTTGCATAAGAAATATGGGGGCATAGATGAGAAAAAATGAAGGAGTTGCACCTTGTGCTTTTACACTTGGAGAGTCATCTGTGTGTCTTATTTATAAAGGGGTATTGTGTACAGTAGGTATGCAGATTTAACTCACGCTCAGAAGCAGGCACTTGTTCTCCTTGATGGCACCCAGGCAACTGAGGAAACCCGTTACCATGACAATGGCGCCGATGGCGATGACCATGTTGGCAGCTGACAGTGAAGGGAATGAGGGCGAGAAGGTGGCGAAGCTGCCCTGAGACACGGAGAGCCAGATGCCCACGCCGAGCAGCCCACAGCCACATAACTGCAAGGTGAAAAGATGAGACAGACCACTGTGAGAAAACAAACAGCACAGAAGTCACTATCACTTCAAAGTTAGCTGCAGAAATGAATAACAGCCAAGCTCATTTTCAGATCTCTCCTGGCAGATTTCGCTCATAACAGATCTCAGAACAATGTCGTAATCTACAGAGTAAAGTTAGCTCTAAATGAAGACAAAGCCCAGCTCAAAAAGCTCAGTGCAAGAAGCTCAATTTCCCTTTAGCTACACTGGGAATTACCCATACAGTCATGCATCACTAAATACTGTTCAAAAAACAAGAAGGTTTACACCAATTATAACTATGATAAGCCATTAACAGCTCTGCAAGAGATTAGAGCAAAATTTGGACTTGGGCCGTGCTGGTTTTGCACGTTTGAGCTGATTATGTTAAATCTAGAACAAACAGATGTAATTACTGCCATCCCCTAGGATGAAAACTTTCCACCTGCAGTAGACTTGAACTTCACCTAGAGGGAGCAATCCGCTAATCTCATGCTGTCACCCTGCCAGGGCTCTGGGGTGGGTGTGAGGTCTGCAATGGCACTCCATTAAGACAATAAAGTGTATATGGAAGGCTTTGAATGGCGGAGTGGATTGTCCTGCCCACTTATATGTTAGCCTACCAACAATACAATATCCCCCACTACTTGGTGAAATACAGCCTAGGAGCAAATTGGTGACATTTTTGCCTGTACCTGATAGAATAAAATACCCAGGGCAATCCTGCCATTAATAAAAAAATTCAAATGAGGTAAAATATGGAAAGGCACTGTGGTAAATCATCACACCACTGCCCTTTCGTCCTGTCTGTTCGTACAGCTCCACTCTTCCTTCTCATCTCTGCTACAAAACACTTTAGTGTTTGTCAGCAATATGTACAATAAACCTGCTGTGCATGCAAACAA